AAGACCCAAATACTACAATTCTGTTTCTCTCACGACATTTTCTTGACAAGTTTGGCATTTGTTCTATAAATATCTTTTTGTTTTGTGAAATCAGCGCAATTTAATTACAATTAAATAGCAGTTAACAGTAAAATGGTATTTTCCTTGGAAATCATTGGCTCTTTTTTTTTCTCTCTCCTTTTACAAGAGGGTTTTTATATCCAAAAAGAAAAAAAATTTAAGTTTGCTTAGTCAAGAATAATATCCGTGAGGAAATCTGCCGAAATGTATTTGTATAGTACGATGAATATAAAGTTGAAATAAAGTTATTTTAAAAATAGAAACATAGGTAGTTTATAAAATAAAATAAGTGAAAATTAATTATCCAAGTTCGAAACTCGTCATTGAGTAAATGATCTAGTGTATGAAAAAGGCACGGAAAAGATAGGATTAAAAAGTAATGTATTAAACCGTAAAAAAAAAAAAAAAAAAAATGCATTTGAGGAGAAAACGCTTCAGCTCATGAAAATATTAAAATTTTGGATAAAAAAGAATTGGAAATTACTGGAAGACCATAAAACGGGCTAACAGAGAGGAAACCCATTGACTCTCCTCTTATAAATCACGAAGGATAAAAGGTTTCTAAGATAGAAATTGAAAAAATAGGAAATGAAACGTTGTATGTATTTTGAATGACGTCGAGAACAGAAAGAGAAAGATGCTGCACGGGGGTGGGGGGGGGAGGAAAGGTCTCACTCAAGAAGGTCAAATTAGATTTGTTTCACCACGTGTGAATTAATATTCATGTGAAATCCAACTAGAATAAAATCCAACCCCAGCATGTCCCGTAATTTAAATTAATGCACGTGTCAGTATATAGTAAGTTTTCACACAGAAGGTGTTATAAAAATTTACAAAAACGTCAATTTTAAGACAAAGCCTGCCTTATTAGCCCAATGAAAGTAAAAAGTTCCAAAAAACAAGACAAACTACCGAACATTTGGCAAAATACAAAAGCTTTACCTCATTTGTGAGCGAATTGCAACCAAAGCGTAACTCAAAATTGTTTTTCCCTCCTCCAGTGTTTCCTCAAAGAGGCTTTTCATTATATATCTTTAATATACAGAGAAAATTCAAGTGTTCCAATGTCCTAATTAAGTGCACAAATAAATTGAAATAATGAAATCTCAAAACATGGAAGAAATTTAAATTTTTTTTTAAAAACGAAACAATAAAATAAATAATAATTGCTCAGCAGGGATAAAATAAAATATGACCACAGATTAGTGTTCGAGGTTGTATTTCCTATTAGGAAACCAGGTTAAGCATAGGCAACCTAATATTAACCTGGTTTCCTAATAGGAAATCAGGTTAAGCATAGGCAACCTAATATTATTTTTTTAATTTTTACAAATTTTCACTTGACTTGCAATTTTCACCAAGATAGAGTATACAGCTCCAAAAACGCTCTTTAGGAATTTTACTCTCTCATTGAAATAGTTTAAGCATAATTGAATCACAGCAACTTTAATTTTGAAAAACTGGGTTTAAAAAAATAAGAAATGATTAGACCAACAAACAGTTCATTAAAAATTAATAATTTAAAATTATTATTTTCTTTTTAAACATGTGAAAACGCAAGTTACAAAAGAAAGACATGATGTGAAGCTGCCAGCATTATCTGGTCTTTTTATTTTTTAAAAGGTGGTCAAGATAAATTGAGAACTTAAAAGACATGTATGTTTAGAGAAAGGGCTTAGAAATAAAAATAATTAAATATTGAGAAACAATAGTTTTTTATTGTTACAAACTGTTTGTATAACAAAACAATCAGGTATTTGGTCATTTAATTTTTTTTTGTGATCATGGGGTGGGCGTTCAAAGTCAGTAACCCAGTATTGTTAGTATTATTATAATTTTTTTAAAGAAGAAAATGTTTTTGTGATAATTTAAGATTTTTCGTATAGCTTAACGTCCCTTATTCTGTCCTGAATGTTTTTATTTATTTAAATTTTATAATATTAACTCTAAATAAACTTTTTTTTGCAAAATATATATAAAATAAATAATCTTTTTTTTTTAATAAATTAAATATCCCATGAATCCCTATGTGATTAAACTATTTCACAGGAAAGGTACAATTACTAAACAATGTTCCTTGGAGCATTAAATTTTGCAGCTATATATATATATATATATATATATATATATATATATATATATATATTGGTGGAAAGTTCAAGCTAATCAAATATTTCCAAAAATTGAAAATTCATTAATAATGTTTTTAATGTTTTGCTTTAAATAAATTTCCGTTTTCTCCGCTTAGAGTTTCTTCGTTAAAATATTTTTATAATAGAAAATTAAAAGTACAATACAAATCCGTGGTCAGATCACAGTTAATTTCAGCGAAAATATTATATATCCTTGCTTTCGTTGTTCATTAAACATTAATTTTTAAGGTAAAAGAAAATTGTCTATTTCCTAAAAAATAAATATAAAATACAAATATTTTGGGAATTAAGATTCCCAAGTTTCAATATGTTGGAGCCCTTCAATACGGCTTGCGGCAACTTGAATATAGCCACCTGCTTGGAGGGATGGGCAAATGCTACTACAAATGCGAGTACCGAGTACCTTTGACATCAACTGAAGTAGTAATAAAATTCTTTGGTACTCTAAAAAGATCAGTATTTGAGTAGAGTACTTAGTACTCAATACTCAGAGTAGCATTTGCCCATCCCTGACTGCTTGTGATATATCAGATGATATAAGAAAACAATACCCAGTAACAAATGAATTGACAAAAGACAAAAAAAAAAATTAAAAATGCTGTTTCAACATTACGACTCAGGTTAATCTAAGATATAATTAGAATAATACCTCCAAAAAGATTCTAAGATAACCATTAATTAAGATAACTGGTATTGATAAACATTTAATTAATTATTTGAAGACAATTTTAATCTTACATTTACATAGGTATGAATGTGATTTATTTACTTCAATTTCATCTAGCTTTTATCTATTACTTCATTTTTTTTTTTTTTTATGTACACAGGCATACCAATTTACTTATTTTATTTTTTTTTTATATTTATTTTTCTTTATTATTGATATTAATTGTATGTACATATTGTGTGAATGAATCATGTAGCCTTAATATTAATGCCCTTCAATGTGGCAGAATGTATTAATATTCAATAAAGAAACTAAACTATTAATCTTACATTTGAGTTATGTCTCTATAGTATAGCCGTACTGTTTACAGAGCGGTTGGATACTGGACAAATATCCTACAAATCGCATTCGAAAGAATAATATTGGAATATTGGCTATATAAAATTGTTACCACATGGCATAGGTATATAATTAGTAAACGAAAATCCAGAGAAAAAAATCTGAATATAGTATATAAATATAAATTTATGTATTTATTGGTCCTATAGTCCACTGAAGACCCAGAACTTATTTAGTAGCTTGTTCCGTTGAGCTCTGTCGGCTAGAAAGAGTTTAAATTCTGACACCAAAAGCCTTCAATATAGCTCCAACATCTCACAAGAGGTTTCCTATTTAAACTTGTGCCTTCAACCTTGCGAAGAAGCAGCACATTTACTTAAAACATATATAGACATATACACTGATGGACAAAATGAATGTATAACTCCAATACTTAAAAATAAAATTAAACTAGCTGTCTCCAGCTTTTATTTTCTTTATCTATTGGTATTTAGGGGATTTTAGAGTGAATATAAACCATTGAAAATTCTTTGTTAATCTCGATTTTCAGAGAGTATTAAACGGACTCTATTTATTGAAAAAATTTCAAACAACTGGAAAGAAGTTTAAGGGATGTGGTTAGCGCCAAGGGCGGAAATACCGGTTACTGACTTAACAAGAATATGAGTTTGAGTTAATGTGAAATAAAAGTTTGTTTTCATAAGACTAATTTCATCATTTAAAATTTTGTTGGGCTCCGAAATTGGAATATGTAGGTGGTGCATTATTTTTGTGGAACCGTATAATACAGGTTCAGCATACAGGTATGAAACATTATTGAGCGTTTCATGATTCTGAGCATTTTCTACAACAAACCTTTTTAATATCTTAAGTTGTATTTATTAAAATAAATATGTATATCTTTGTACAATAACACTTTTAACAATACCCTCGACTAATATAAAATTGTTTTCGTTGGAGGATTTGTTTTGTGCATAATTATACTGTCATAGAGAAGTGCGAATGGAACAGCCACTTTTCGGAAAGTAGGAATTTCAAACTAAACAGCTCACAAGCGCGGGAACACGAAATGCTGGATTGTTAAGATAAGATGTTTTGATGGAAAAGCTAACCCATTTTTGGAAAAAAATATCAAGTGCCTATCAGCATATTCAAAATAGATGTTTAACAAAATAAAATGCTTAGTTTTTTTAGATGCTAGAGAGGCTATTTCTGCAGGTACTAAAACTGTGAATGCATTATTTGAGCATTTAAAATTCAAATGACCCTCAAATCTCCCATAATGTTTATCGAATTTATTCTCCAATTGTTGTGAAATAATTAAATTACAATTTCCCTGAAATAGCCATTCATAATTCCACAAAATAAATTTAGATAGCGCCGAAGCGGGATTGGGGAAAGTTTACTTAATGAAAGGCTAAAAAGTAGATTAAGATAGTGTCATCAAGTGATTTTTCAAAGCCTTCTATTTTTTTTTCTATAGTAGCATTGAAGAAATATTTAATTTGATAATGATTTGTCAAATTTTAATCACATATCACCTATTAAAGTTGAAATTTAAAGACATGTTTATTTTATACTACATTATCATGTAAAAAAGTTATCTGTGTCTCAATCATTAGTCAATTAATTAATCCACATTAACAATAAAAAGTATTGTAATGTTTTTGAGCATTGTAATTGCAATCTTATTATGATTAATTGTCGAATTCACACAAAATGAAAATTATGTATATTTTTTTTTTTTTAAAAGCTCTAAGATACTTTGAGAAGGATGTCTATTAGCAAGACCCGCTACTGCACACAATGCCAGCTAATTGGATAATAGTGCGTGCAACGTCCTTGCGGTACTGCAGCAGGCATCTTTCCCCTAGAGATAAATTAAATTATTTACTAGATCAAACATCACTCCTCTACATAACTGACAACTTTTAGTCATTAACACCAATAAAATAGAATGAAACAGCGCAAAGATTGAGCATGATTTGCCGTTTATTCAAGTAAAAAGCTATTTTTAATTTATTTCTCTTTCATTTACTGGTAGCAATTGTCGTTACTTTTATCTTTCAAAGTTCATATTCAAAATTGAGCTTTTCCATCTCAACGAAATACACAGTTATAGCTAACAATCTGAAAAAAAAATTACTTCATGTCCATTATTTATTTTATTAGCCTGGAAAATATATATTTATTTATTATTGCGAATAGGATGTGCTACAAGAAAAAACCTATATACTGTGTATATATATATACAAACTAAAATAATAAAAAAAAATAGTATTAATTATCCATTCCTAAATAGTAAATATAATTGAAGAGGCAATGCGTCGAATATCCATTGTTAATAATAATAAATAAATTAATGAAATGTTTATTTTTTCTTTATTTATACACAACAGCACATGGAATCTTCGGGAAATAAAATATATTTTTGGAAGTAGTATGTTAAATTATAATATTCACTACTATAATTTGTTGTTAATGGTTTGACAAAGCCTATTACATGCCACTTCAAATATATTATAGAGGTATGATATACAGCACAACAAAGTTTTACTTACCACAGGCATCAGGTGATCAGTACTTCTAACACGTGTAACTTTGTTTTTATAAACGTATTTTTTCACAAAGCGCTCTAGATTTTGATTCCATTTCATAAATGAAACGTACATTAAATATATACTAAAAAGTACAGCAGCTTCGTACCAGTAAATACGATTGTCTCTAAAGAAAATTATCAATATAATCAATGATGCAGAATAGAAAGTGCAGTCTCTGAAGAGTGGCCACCAAGTGAGTGTCAGCACAGTCCGTGAGAATAAAGCACACATACCAATAACAAACAATATGTTGAAGACGGCAGAACCGACAATGGTGCCTATACCAACGTCGTCAAATGATACAAACACTCCAATAACACTAGTAAAGAGTTCTGGTGCAGAACCTCCAGCAGCCATGAAAGTCGCACCAGCTACATCTTCAGCAATACCCAGTTTTTCGATGACAACATCCAAGCTAGGCACGAAAAACTCGTCACAGACAATAGCCAGAGCGACGAACATATAAACAACACCCATGACATGAAGTACTACAGCCCCATTTTTCCTCTGATCTAAGCTAAATAAATCTGTTGGAAATAGAGGAGTTTTCTCAACCGTCTGGTTCTCGTGGCATAGTGTTAAATTGTCCTGCAAACTTGGCTGAAGAAAGGTTGCGAACAAAGTGAGAGTCAAAATATAAACAGAGAAATATGACATGGTGCAGGTCCGCTCCCCTGCCTCGTGTGGCTCCCTCTCAGCGCAAGGTAAAGGCTAGGCTACCAAATCGATATTTTCGCACAAGCGCTTCTTAAACATCTCTTCTCAAAACTAGGATAAATCAATATTATTACAAATATTTGCATTATATTAAGATATTCCGCTATAGTGAGCTTAATTTCCTAGTTTTTACTCTTTCTAACCATTCTTAGGCAAAAGTCACATTAAATGGTAACCCTCAAATCGTAGGGTTTCTAGATCAGGCGGGTCCGTCTTTTTCAACGGCTATTTTTCATTTCCCTGTGCTTATCTACTTCTTTTCTTCATATCCTTTCTTTCTTTGAAGCAGAGTTATTTATTGATATTTCAAGATTGGCTGTTATAACTACAAACTAGGTAAGCTATACTTGTTTGCCTGCTTTCTTTGCATGTATTAATATAGCCTAACTCCATGAAACTTTACCTATAATAAAACAAAAATGGGATAAAAGAAGAAATATATTCACCGGAAATCGAGTTAACATGTTATAATATTACTCCCTGAATTTCCTGATTTATATTTTTTAATTTTTGTAGCAAGATAAAATAATTCTTTCACACATTAAATATTTTGAACTATGGACACTTTTATGCTATCGGCCAGTTATTAAAATGACGTCGAATTAGTTCTGTGTTTTCTCGTTTCTGACGTAAGGGTGTATTTTAGAGAGCAGGATGAGCAAACTGAAATATATAAACTATATATATTAAATTATTAGTAAACGGGGAAGAGACATTGTGAAGGGATTAATTAGGAGATGAATGGTCTGACCCCATTTATTTTTTGAAAGAATTTTCCACAGATACAAAATTATAGAAAAAATTTAAATTGTAAAATATTTATTTGGCTAACTAAACTTATAAATTAGTGTCATAATCGTTTTCTGAATTTGCTTAAGATTATGAGCAAGGTTGAAGAAAAGCCGCACAATTGATTTCTTAATAGAATTCGGATGAAGCAATTTTTGTTTTTAAAAACTTTTTTAGATATGCATTAAACGTAAACCGTGTGAACAATCTTCAGGACAGGCAGTGTGTAACACTAAATTCATGTCACAAGGACTAAAATGACGAATAGTGAGAGGAATGGAATAATTATGGCAGCGACTTATTTAATATCTCTAAGAGACTACATTTAAAAATAAATTGATGATGATAGACAATAAAATGTTTTTTAACAAAACATTTAATTTTTTGATTTAAAAAAGAAAAGAAAACCATAAACTAATTTACAATTTATTATTACAACCAACTTTTAATACATTCGTGGGTTTTTTCAGAAAACCTACCAATAGATAGAATAAAGTAATTTGATACTTTCAAGTTTATATATACAAGTTTGTATTGATAATTTCAGAGCTATGAATAAAAATAAATCCAATTATTTGGTTTTCTTTGTTATTCTGCGGTAATATTTTTTCTTATCAGAGTTCTTCCTGATTTATCAGAAGGAAACTCATGTTATTTAGCTTTAAAGATTTTACACAAGTGAAAGTGATTTAAGTTAGCCAAAGAACACGAAAATTGGACGGAAGGGAATGGAATAAATGTTTATGGAGAGATGAGTCGTAATTTGCAATGTTTGGTTCCGAAAAGAGATAGTATGTTGGATGAATGTTTACCACCAACAGTAAAACACGGAAGTGGCTTTTTAATAGTTTGAGGTTATTTTTCTAACCTCAAACTAAGTAAGATAACAATAAATTGCAAAGACTGAAGTGGGTGAAGAAGCAAAGTAATGAAATTTTAACATTAAGGGAGCTAGAATAATTAGTGGAGTATAAAATAATGTCAGCACAGCTGTTTAGTCCCTTGGCTTGTTGTTAACAATGTTAATTTAAATACATATTATAGCAGTGAAGTGGCTGAGGGAGAAGCGCAGGGATCTCCTAAGCCTCGCTTTTCCCTCCACATGTGGGGAGGCAAGATTGGTTCGGAGTTTCCCTGGCTGATTGTAAATAGTGTATGCTTAATTAGGTATGCTTGTTTCTAAGATGTTCATTTTACTTTTGTTTCAATTTTTACTTACTATATGTTTGTATATATGTATGAACTGTGGTCAGAGGAAAGTTCATCAAGGCGTGCAATGGAATAGTTGAGGAGACCTAAACCACTGTGGATGAAGAAATCAAGGATATCAGGATTACGGTTAGGATCAGTGGGCCAATAGGTAGGTGACTTCGGAGGAACGAGCTTAAAGGAATAAGAAGAATGTTATGTTGATGAGGGTTTTGTTTGATGAGATTGTTGGTTGAGGGAGGGAAGGATAGGATGTTGAAGTTAGGGTTGGAGTTTCTGTTGCTGCAGGACCTCACATTTGTCAGTCGGGACTCTACCCCCTAGTAACTGGGAAAAAGAAACATTAGAGTCTACTATTTTAGCAGGTCCTCTTCTGGGCTTAGAAATTTATTCTTGGTACCGGGGTTTATAAAATTTATTTTTGATGTTTTTGTAGATCTGGCAGTCCTTGTAGTTGGCAGGATGTCCTTCCAGACATAAAGCACATACAACGGGAGTACTTTTCAGTTGATTGCATTCACTAGTCTTGTGTGACTCTCCGCATTCCACGCATCTTGGTATGTGGTGGCAGTATGTTTTGGTGAGGCCATATGCCTGGCAATTATTGCACTGGACGATTCTCTTTTAGTGTATGGTGTTTCAACCTTAACACTAGTATAATATAAAATTTAAATTTCATATACTTTACCGACTTCAGCAGAGGGTTCTAAATCTTTGAAAAATATGTGTAATAATATATTTCTATTTGTCCCGGATTCATCTCTGTCGTCCTTCATAACATTGGTGACCTGTCGGACTTTGAAACCTAGGATCATCAGTTCTTCTTGGAACGCTGGAGTAGAGGGGTTTGTTGTGTTTATTTAGGCTTTAAGGCGTAAAACCCCAGGGTCATCAACGCCTGTGAGTCGGTTATATTTGTAAACTCTTTAGAGGATAATTAATAATTATTAATATATAGAGTAACAAATTAAAAAGATATTAAAAAACATATGAAAAATAAAATATATCAAAATAAATATAAAAAAGACAGAATAATAAAATAAAAATTATATTTATTTTTATATTCTATTTAACAGCCTATGTATTCTAAGAAACTTTGTCACTTTTGTTATATCTGACTCGTTGTTGCTTAATACTGCTGATATATCCGGTTTTAGAGACAATTGATTGAGGCTTGAAATATAATAAGGGCATTCTTGGAAAATATGATTGACTGTGAGAAGGCTACTGCAGTGCTGACAAATTGGTGGCGGCTGCTTAGTGATGTGATGTACATGGGTTAGGTTCGTGTGTCCAATTCTTAACCTGGTCACGGCGACTTCCTCTCTACGACTAGGGCGATTTGATGTGCACCAGGGTTTCACCGATTTTTTTATAACTTTTAATTTGCTAGGTGGGCTTTCGTTCCACATAGATTGCCAACTATCCAATATTTCGTTCTTGAGAGGAAAACTCATTTCTGTGGGGGTCAGGATAGGAGTACCTCGGTTTGGGAGCGCGAGTGCCTGTTTGGCTGGCGTATCCGCAAGCCCATTACCAACTATACCCACGTGACTGGGAACCCATATAAAACAAGCCGATTTTCCTAAATTTTCTAGAGTGTGAAGATATTTATGTATTATTAACTGGATGTTTTGAGTATATATCATTTAAACCCTTTAATGAATTCAAGGAGTCGGTTATCAAGACTATTGAGGCTGGAGTTATTGACATACAGAAGTGGAGGGCTGAGGCTATTGCGTGAAGTTCCGCTGTGTATATGCTGCTTAGTTTATGTAGCTTTATTTTATGTGTGGAGTTAGGGGTAACAAACGAACAAGCTGTAGCATCATCTGATTTCGAACCATCAGTGTAAATTAAAAACTGTTCCGGAATATTTTGTAGTAGACGGGGAAATTCGGTTTTGTACTCGTAAGGTGAGGTATTGTTTTTGAGTAATCGAGTGAGACGGAGCATCATTTTTGGAGGTTTGTGGATCCACGGTGGGTTCTGGTTTTTGATATTGTATAAAGGTAAGTTCTTAAGGTATTGAGCTGCTGAATAAATTCTTTCTGACAGTGGGAGTGTGGAATTTGTTTTGTTTCTAAAAGCGTTTAAAATTTAGGTTTAAAAATGTAGTTATGGGTGGGATGTTTATTTTGGCTAAGTAGCCTTGAAATGTAGTTAACAGCGAGCTTTTTTCTTCTAAATAAAAGAGGGTGCATCCCGGCCTCAGAACAGAGACTAAGGATGGGGCTTGTTCGAAACGCGCCAGTCGCTATCCTAATGCCTGTATGGTGGACTGTATCAAGTTTGTTTAGGATCCGATAGCGGGCAGAACCGTATATAAAGCACCCGTAGTCTAATTTGGAACATACCAAAGCTTGATACTGTTTTATTAGCGTAAGTCTGTCTGAGCCCCAGGAAGTGCCGCTTAGATATCGTAAGGTAGTTATTCTTTTTGTAGTGGCTGTTTCTAGTGCAGAAATGTGCGGCTCCCAAGTTACTCTTCGGTCAAAGATCATACCCAAGAATCTATGGTGGTTCGAGTATGGGATTATGGAATTTCCGAGGTAGATTTCGGGTGAGTTTAGCGTGTTTCTTTTTCGACTGAAATGTATGCATTTAGTTTTTGCGGAAGAAAATTGGAGACCAATAGAAAGAGACCAGTTGTTGATTCTATTGTCACCGTCCTGTAGTTTGTTTCGTATATTGTCAATGTTGCCAGATCGGCAGAGAATGGCTAGATCATCTGCGAATAGAAGTGGTTTGACACCTCTTGGTAAGATGAGCCCCAAGTCATTTATCACTTGACAGAACAAAGTTGGGCTGAGGACACAACCTTGAGGGACACCGTTGAACTGTTCATGATTCTCGGATAATTCGCCTCCTATTTTAACTCTAAAGTGTCGGTGCGTGAGAAATTGCCAAATATAGTTGTACATTTGGCCTCTAATACCTAC